GAGAGAGAGAGAGAGAGAGAGAGAGAGAGAGAGAGAGAGAGAGAGAGAGAGAGAGAGAGAGAGAGAGGCAAGGGAAGTTGGTCCCCACTTCTAGTTTTGGTCCAGGACACCCAAAGGAGGCGGCCCTGGGATAACAAGTGGGGGGTCACCGTCTCTTTTGTCATCCCTGCAAAAAGGTGCAGGTCCTTACTTGTGCCTTGAATCGTCAGCAGCGTGGTGGGACTGACTTCCTTTGCAGTTCGTTGGCAGCTCGCAATATAGGTCTTGGCCGTTGGGGCTAAAGACATTGTACTACCCTGGCGGAACGGCTTGCCCTGTGAGTGGCACGTAATGCTGTTTTTATTCTTCCAATACACTCTGGCAATCCTCAACGGATGGGCGGCTGTAACTTTTTTTTTTCTTGTTTTTTTACCCCGGGGAATTCTCTACTTCCGCTCCTCAGGCCGGTGTGATTCACAGGTAGTGTAGGAGGTTGAAATGTCTCTAAAAAAGGAAAGGCTGCGAGCGGTGAGTACTGTCTCTTTGTTTCGTTTGTTGGCAACAGCAAGATTTCATATCTATTTTCTCTGAGTGTGGAGTCTGCGGAGTGGCGAAAAAAGGGAGGCCACCTTCCTGCCTGCCTGTTGAAGTAGACCTGGAATGCCTATAAATGTGGAAACAGATTCACAACCTTGCTAAGGTTATAATCCTCTCATTTATTTGACACTTGGAGAGGAGAAGCCTTGCCCAAAAAGAACACACGGGCTCCCTCACTATGTGTTTTGGTAAACCCTATCCTCTTCACCTGAAAAGAATGCCCAGTCAGTATTGCTGTATGTAGACTGAAAATTGCACCAAATGCAGGTATAATGATGGGGCGTTCTATTTGGGTGACGACAGTATAAGTAGCCAAGACCAGAAGTGGGCTGTGTCGCTGTGGCGTGTTGGAATTTCAGAGGATCATCACTCACAATGGGCTTAAAAAGTTTTAACCCCCACGTGAACTCACCTGAACATTGGGTCAGTTTTAACTGACCCAAACCAAGGGTTCAGGATTATCACTCACATGGGTTCAAACTTCAAAGGGTCCACCGTGGCCCCTTCCTCCTTGGGCCGAAGACTCTACCCTTCTCCCATTCTATCTAGTTCCCTCTTACTTTTTGCCCTCTTATGCGCATGCATGTGCCTCTACTCACTTGTCGACGAATGGATGGCTGCAAGGCTCCCTGCCTATCCTGATTTAGGTCATATGCTCTGCTGCAGTGATCTGGTCCACAAAATTTGTGCCCCCATTACTCTTTCAGGGCCTTGATTGACTGTGTGGTGGACAAAATAGAAGCTGTTCAGCATCTGCCGATTCTTGCTTAGTCCGGTATTACAAGTCCTCTGTTCCACTCCTCCTGAATGGTTCAGCAGTACCGTCGAATGCTCTCATCCTAGAATGCGATTCCTGGGGGAGAACACCTTTTAACATTGGAACGATGCGGAGAAGATGGAATAAGGTAGATTTAATTAGCAAGGGCCCTGCACAATGATGACACCACACGTACCTCGATAGACGGTCTGAGAAAGAGAACACCCTCTTAATTAAAAAAAGAAAAAGAAAGAAAAGAAGTAGGCTTCCGACTGTTAAGCTGGTTGAACTTGCATCGTGACCAGCAAAAACGAAGGATAAAGTAAGGAAGTTTGACAAATATAGTATATACATATATGAGTCGGTGAAACTCCGACGAAACAGTTTGTCACAGCCCCTCGTTTGTTGTCCTCTTCTCCCTCTCTGCCTACGGTTTACCGGGCAGTTCTATTTGACGATATATATCAAGTTCGTTTGTTGTCCTCTTCTCCCTCTCTGCCTAGGGTTTACCGGGTATATCAAGCGTTTGCAACTGTCGATGGATGGACTGAGTGTTATTTTGTTTGTTTGGTATCTACGTGTGTGCATTATTACAGGTTATGATTCTCAGCCAAGACAAGGAGCGAGGAAGGATCAGTTTATCAACAAAGAAACTGGAGCCCACCCCAGGCGATATGCTGCGCAATCCTAGTCTTGTGTATGAAAAGGTATTTAATATATTACTTAATGACAATAAAATAATGATCATGATCATGTGGACATATTGGCACGCTGTCGGTTGGGCAACTATATCCATAAGCTCCAAGGGCTCTGACGGTGTCGCCAGGCTTTTTTTTTGTGTGTGTTTCTCTCTTTTCTGAGTTTTCTTTTAAGGATTTATATTTATTATGCTCTTTTGCGGTACTTGGATGCCAAACTTTCTGTTTGACTTCTCTGCTTCACCAGCAGAGTTCCAAACTAAAATTTTCTATTTGTCCCTGTCCTCACCTCCCCCCCCCTCTCTCCCCTCTTCTCCAAAAAACAACAAAAGAAAAAAGAGAGAGTAGCACGAAGAAAAGAAAAGAACTTTCTGGTAGCGTTTAGCACGTTTTGTTGGAGAGTGCTGACTTCCAGATTTCTCTGATTCCAATCTGCACCGTCCCAGGCATATGAGAAATGCCAACAAGTCCTTGAGGGTTTTCCATCATTTGACTGGTTCCAGCATGGGGCTCTGCGAGGCATCATCTAATCTTCTTTTTGCCTGGAAAGTTAGGAAACAAAAAATAGTCCAATTCTCTCTCTCTCTCTCTCTCTCTCTCTCTCTCTCTCTCTCTCTCTCTCTCTCTCTCTCTCTCTCTCTCTCTCTCTCTGTGTGTGTTACATGCTGCGCCTGAAACGAGGGCCATTTTCAGGCCCTGTGTTGTTTTCAGCCTAAAAGCCTGAAAACAAGGGCCTACAGGCCCTGTGTGTCGTTTTCAGCCTAAAAGCCTGAAAAGTTGTGAAACAAGGGCCTGCAGGCCCTGTGTCGTTTCAGTCTGAAAGCCTGAAAACAAGGGCCTACAGGCCCTGTGTCGTTTCAGCCTAAAACAGGGCCCTCCAGGCCCTGAGTCTTTTCAGCCTGAAATGGAGGGCCATTTTCAGGCCCTCGTAAGATCGACCTGCCCTGAAACTTAGGCACCAGACCAGGGTTTTAGCACAGGCCATTTTGGGCCTGTTTTCAAGACAACCTTTGTTTGAGCTTCAACGCCAGGGTCTCACACGTTTTGGCATTGGCAAGAGCAGCCTCCTGGACGGGCCAGCACTATATAAGACTGGCCCACCCTGCAGGCTGCAGGTAGTTGGACTTCCCAGGCACTTCACGTGCAGTTCGGAGGCAGGAGGTAGTCTTCAGGATTCGGCAGCAGCATTCTGCTGGAGGAGCGCTGCAGGAGTAGTAGTAGCGCTAGCAGTAGTCTTCAGCGCCGGGCGCTAGTAGCGTTAGCAGTAGTCTTCAGCGCTGGGTGCTATTAGGAGCTAGAGTAGTACTTGAGAGAGAGAGAGAGATTGGGCGGAGGCCAGGGAGACTTAGCTGCAGCGCCATAGCTCCAGCTTCGCCTTCGAGGTACCTGCAGCACGGCGCCATCTTCTCAGGTTAGTACCTGGCACATGGGAAAGAGAGAGAGTGAGTTCTTCTTCTTCCTCCTCTCAGTCCACCATCTCCCTCTCACCCTCTCGCTACCTGACTTCACTGCATCAGCAGACTACGAGAGAGAGCGGGCTTGGTGACATTTGGATCCAGACTCGACATTGGGCTTCAGACATTTGACGAGGGATTATCTGGGACTTGTAACGAAGACTTGGTGTTGACGACATTCCCATCTTCCCCCTTCTTCTTCGTCTGATCCCCTCCTCTTCGTCTGTGTATGGTCTGGACCTGGCGCATTCATCCTGTATGTAGCGCCAGGTCCCCCTTCACACCTTGTGATGAGGATGATGTATGTTTGGTCTGTATGGCGACATTGATTGGGCTAGTCATTGGTATTCTAGCATTATGCTGCACTGTCTTGCACTACGCTGGAGAGGTCAGTCCCGGTCAGGTCAGGGCTTATATCTAAGTCTTCCACTGCGCTACAGAGCACCATTTTTGTATGTATCAGGATGTACACTGCTTGTTGAGATTCTACTCGCACTGCATTGTCCATTCAGTCCTTTTTATCACATTGCGGATCCTTGGCTTTATATGTACATCGCCCGACTGGGCATGTAACTCTCTCTCTCTCTCTCTCTCTCTCTCTCTCTCTCTCTCTCTCTCTCTCTCTCTCTCTCTCTNTCTCTCTCTCTCTCTCTCTCTCTCTCTCTCTCTCTCTCTCTCTCTCTCTCTCTCTCTCTCTCTCTCTCTCTCTCTGTGCGTGTGTGTGTGTCTCTCTGTCTCTGTCTCTCTCTCTCCCCTACCGCGTTCACCCGAACAGACCGACCGGTCATTGTACCTGTATCTAGACTTAAAGTTGCCCTGAGTACAGCCACAATGACCTGGGAATCTATTCTGGTGAAGACGGTAGTTCCCATCTCATCCGGGACTCCTCCCTTTTAGAATCTCTCCTCTTCCTCACTGTTTTTGTTTATCTGATTGTTTGTCGGTCTGTCTGTTGGTCGGCTCGCCCATCTGTTTGTTGATTGGTTGGTGGCCCGGGTGGGTGTGCGGTTGGTTTGTCGGTCCGTCTCTACTGTGCATACGGTGCTCATTGTTTCTTAAGATTTGAAGCAACGGGAGGTGGGCGCAACCCTCGGTGGCTAGCACTGAGAAAATGCAAGGGAAATAAACAAGAAAATTTAATCTCCCAGTGTTAACAATGAAAATTGAGCCTGTATGCCGTGATGTTTCAAGCGGATTGTGAGGAAATCTAGTTTGGTTGTGGGCTACCAGCCGGGCCGCCCAGGTCACCTTGTTTGCCCGGGCAGGCTGGCCGTGCAAGGACCAGGGAAGGTCCCTGTAAAAAATAAAATAAATAAAATCCGAAAAAAAAGCTATGTTATGCAGGAAAATAAGCTGATCAATGTTTGCCTCATGGTCACATCAAAATTCTTTACCAAATTTAAAATAAAAAATGAAATACATTTTTTGATTTTTTATTTATTTTTTCAAAATTTTCTTTTATTTTTTCTGACCCGAGCGGGCAAGTGGTCCCAGGCCAGTCTGGATGCCTAGGTTTGGCTGTTGATTTTTTTGGCGACTAAGAGGTTCTTTCTTGCTGTGTGTTTTTTTTTTTTTTTTTTTTTTTTTTTTTTTTTTTGGGGGTTTAAGAGTTTTTTTTTTTTTTTTTTTTTTTTTTTTTTTTTTTTTTTTTTTTTTTTTGGGTGGTGTCGGTGGTGGTGGTGGGTTGCATGTCGACGATGCTCATGTGGCCAGGCTGATGAGATGGCAAAGACATTCAGGGAAAGAGTTGCTGCTGCGGAAGCGGCGGCGAAGGCGGAGGAGCTCCGGCTGCAAACAGAGGTATGTATGTAGGTTCCACATGTAGGTTAATGCTTTGTGATTCGTTTCGTCAATAGATGGTCGTTGTGCTGTGGGTTTCTGTTTCTGGAAATGCATGTTTTCATCGAAGTCCTGAAATGTATCACGGTGTTGCGGGTTTTATGTTTGTCTTATGTTTTCGTATTGGCGATCAGTGACTAGTGGTGACTGTTACGATCCTGGCCAATTTCGAAGTGCAAAATCACGAGAAAGTACAATGCCGTCCAATTGCAAAAAAAAAATGAATGAACTTGAGAGGAGAGAGAGGGAAAGAAGAGGAAGAAGAAGAAAGAAAGAAAGAAGAAGAAAAAGATGTACAGCAGCTGCAATCAGACTTGTCTTGAACTCGCTTCCTCGTGCATGGAAACAGATGATAAACAAACTTTGGCGCATAGCGCCCACTCAAAGCTCAGAGATAAACATGGCCAGGAACACAGCTTAGATTCAAACTTGTCTTGATGGCTATGGCGCAGGGCGCCAGACAATGATTCCCATCCGATCAACTGTATCCACCAGCAAGTTATTCGCACACACACGCACACTCGGATCACCCTGGATATCCCACACACATATTCACTCAACACACACACACACACGCACACACACACTCTACCCTGTCCTACGTGGCAGCTATGGCTGCCGTCTCCTTCCTAAGCTAGCTGGCGGCTATGGCTGCGTCTCCCTCCTCTTAGCCCTCTTCTTCCTCGGGCACCTGCAGACCTCCGTAGCACAAGACACTCCGACAGCGCTTCTGCACAGCTCAGAGGCAGAATGAATGAATGACTTGGCGCTGCCTCTTTTATACTTCGGATCGTCGTTGGTCTGCCCTTGGACCCTGGGCCTGGGGTGTACACAGTCCCACATGGTACTTGCTGACTAGACAAAGTGCAACCGGGACTGGGTACCGCTGACCGGACTAGGTAGGACTAGGACTGCCCTCTGCTGACTGTGCTAGGATTGCCCTTTGCTGACTCAGCCGCGGACTGACTCCTAGGATGTACGAAGAGCCAGTGAGACCAGTCTAGAAGACTCTAGACTTGACCTTTCGAAACTACCACCTACGCTGACCCTATGACAGCTAAAACTATAAGGTCTACGGGTCAAACCCCCGGAGACCGCACTATATACGACAGCTGAGCATACGATTTTCAGGGGACAGGTCGCGGGTTCAAACACACAGGTCAACGGGTGCTGTACATGGGTAAGGGGATAGGTCTAGAGATCGAGCCCTGGGTTCTGCATCTGTCACCGCTGTAGGTGAAAACCGTTTCACAGCAGAAGACCAATGATAATTTCCCCCTTCTTCTTGCCAACCAAACTCCTGCTTTTCTCCTCCCATCTTATTCAAACAATAAATAATAATAATAGTGATGAATGGGAGAACCAGAATCAATGTCCGAATCCCTCTTCTACTGCCAGCACAACAAGAGGTCCACCATAGCCATGGCTGCTCTCTTCTCTCTCTTCTTCCAGGCCGAGCTATGGCGGACTACTAAGGGCCTTGTCCTGACATGCAAAAGACAATGCAAAGCAGCTATGGCCTCTTCCACTCAGGCCGCCATGCCTGACTCTGCCTCAAAGCTTCTTGATGCAGCTCTACCCCAACGGGGGTGCAGCGCCCACCAAGGTGATGAAGATGACGTCCACCATAGCCAGGTGAGTACCCCTGGTGCTTGCCTCTACTAGTCCCTTCTTCCCCCTCCTCCTACCCGAGCTCTTCCACCATAGTCGAGGTGGAGAGCTGGGCGCCCTTCTTCCCCACAGCGCTGCTCCACCACGAGCTCTAGCAGCGTGTCGCGCAAACTTGCACGTAGCAAATGAGGCTGAGCCTCTCGCTCAGCCTGGAGATATAGCGGCCAACCTGCCTCTTGGGCGGTGACTTTCAGGCCGCTCGGACTCCAGGCAACCTGTAATTCCTCCCTCTTTGAGGTAAAACATCATTGCAGGCTCTGGTACGATGTCGAGAGATGGTTAACGGACCGAAACTGTCACATTGTGCTGATTTTTTTCTTTTTTCTTGTTTTTCTTTTTGTGCGACATACATGTGCTTTAGGGTACGTCATGTGTCCGGTTTTGACATGTTTGGATCAATAATGAAAATTTCGTTGAATTCGTTGGACGGCGGACGCTTCATTTTAACTCGGACGGTGTTTTTGTGTTAGGGTTTTATAAATTTATGGTTGTTTTTTGTTTTTTTTTCCCCCGTTTTCTTTTGCCTGTTTCCTTTTTGATGTTTGCACTATGGGTCCATATCGTTTGTTTTTGAAATTTTCGACGATTTTTGTGACAACGGCAAATATTTGCCCCCCCGTTAACCATCTCTACCGCACAGGCCCAAGACTCAGTCTACTTGAACGGGTACCCGCCTAAACCTAGCCTACCGCTACTGGGCTTCTAAAAATGCCAACTTTTTGTCTTCTTCTGCTTGGCCTCCAGTTCCCGACACATCTACTGCTACTTAGTGGTACCGGCCTACCTGCAACTTGAGTGCCCCTGGCCCACACTACGGCTACTCGAGTGTGCCCCAAGCTACCCCCTTCGGCCACTGGAATGTTTTTCCTCACTGCAACCCCAATGTCACGGCCACAGTCAAGTACTGGCCCTGTGGGGCCTTCCAAACAATCAAGTGCCCTGGCGGACCACCCACACACTCAAAGCCGACAAGCACTCGGACAGGCATGCAGACCAGCAAGCATGCACACACACAGACTTAGAAAACACAGCAAAAAGCGGGAATCTCATCAAGTCATTCATTCCAGCGGCAAAACTCAGAAATCAGCTGTGTTTTCAGTCCGTGTTTTGACACGTCCTTACAGTGACAATTGTTTTCTTGTCGATGAAAATGCAGAAGCCAGTGGCAGGTGAGGAATGGTGAACTGAAGTGCCGAAAGCAGACCAGGAGTAGAGGGTGTTTTTTGCCCAAGTTAGAACAAGGAAACTAGGACTGGAGAATTTTGCCCGAGTAACAATTTAAAGTGGGTATGGGGTTGAAAGGGGCTGTAACCACCAGTACCCCCGCTGGCCAAAAATGAGCTTTCCAGTGAGTACGGGCCGCATTTGGCGGGGCTGCGCCGACCGACAGGCAACCAGCGGGTCCAGTCACACAGTTTCCAAGCACCAACTTTGGGGATTTTTCCCGCTAATCCACAGAACTGACAGGAAAAGAAGGGAGTCATGAAGAGAGAGAGAGAGAGAGAGAGAGAGAGAGAGAGATCCTATAGAGAAACTCTGTCACAGCTAATGGAGTTGCACAGCATAGATAACTGTGTCAATGGATTTTTTCATTCCTCAGTGTTTGTGTAATGTTGTGGCTGTGGGACTGTGTTGATGTCTGTTTTCTTTCTGGCAGGGATATGGACTTCTGGATGATCTTGGGGCTGATCTGGGCCTAGATGACCTGGACCTGGACTATGTCCCATTGACAGGCACAGAATAAGCAGGAACATATTACTGAGACGAGGCTGTTGTGTACGGTGTACAGTGGCCAGGCAGCAGAGTGAGGCGGGGGGGGGGGAGAGAGAGAAGGAGAGTCGTATTTACCGGGGGGAAGTGTTACTTCAGTTGGTTTAAGGATTTTGGATTGCAACATCTTGTCCAAGTCCATTGGACGGACCATCATCACAACAAAAAAATTATCAAGTGCAGTTACATGGCGTCCCCATAAGTGGAGAAATCACTACTCTAGTGGAGAATGACTACTCGAGAATCCCTCTTCCTTTTTACTAGCGATCCTCTCGTCTTACTATACAAGCATTGAATTGGTTGTGTCGTTGGCGAGTTGTTTCTTTCTTGTGTTTCCTTCTCTTGTCAATCATGAATTAGCACCCATTGTCAGGATGGACAAGAAGAGCCTAGTAGGAACATTGTCATGCATTTGATGAGCAGTACAGAGTGGGAGGAGGGAGGAGTACAGAGTGGTAGGAGGGAGGAATACAGGGTGGGAGGGGCCGAAAGGATTCCCATTCCATTTGTATGTATGCCATGTATGTAGACATATGTATTGATGATCCATATACATACATATGTATGTATGTATGTATGTATATGTATGTACATGCAAGTCGATCGCAAGTCGTTTGTTGGAAAATGTTTGATATGTGTATTGTTTGTTGTACTCTTTTTCTAGTGGACCGACCAATTTGTGCTGTACTTGCTTGCAATCAATGGAGCATGGCAGTGGAGCCACTTCTCGTAGCAGTCATGGAAGGAAGAGGATGGGGGCGGGGGAAGGGAGANGGGGGCGGGGGAAGGGAGAAGGGGGAAGGGGGTGGGGGGTGAATATGTTTGGACTCTTTGTGCTTTGCTGTTGCTAGCACAAAGCAGCCATTGAATTGTGTTGCAATCGGTGTGTCGTTTGTTAGTTTTTGTTTTTTTTGTCATAGACGGGCTTTTTGAGTAGTTACGTGTGCAGTCGTCATTGCTGAAAACGTTAACTTGTTTGCAGAGTGTTTTCTGTTCGCTGTCTTGGACAGTCACCAATCGAGGCCACCGTTTACCCATGTGAGTCGATCTCCCTGGACCGAGCGAGGGTGCGCTGCATCCATTTCGGTTTTAGATTACTTTTGCCTTTCTTTTCAACCTTCTACAAGGTTTGGGACAGCTGCTGACTCCTGTTACGTCCAAGGCTCATGCAATGGAGGTTGATTGACGTTGGTGTCCTGCCGTCTCCGGTCAGCTTACACACTACTGATGTGCACTTGTGCAAACGGAGAGCTTGTTGAGATAATTTGTTTTTGGTCGAGCGGATTTGTTGATGATGTGAAAGATGTACAATCATATACTACAATGTGTATTGTCAATGTGGTGGCATGACTTCTGTTGTTTGCTGGATTCAACATGGTAGTTCATATTGTATGTCTTTGCTGGTGTTGTTTCTTTTGGGAGGGGGAACAAATCAAGTGCCTCTCCTCTTCCTGTCCTGTAATCTCAATCTCCCTCGTTTGATCATCTCTGCAGACATCCATCCACAGCTGCCGCATGTCTGTAAGCGCTTGCTGCAGTCCTTTGTGGTTGTCAGTCGGTCCATATAAGTGCTCATGTGGTCCTACCTTGCTGCACGGCACACGAAAGGAACAAAAAATCAAGTGCATCGACCCACAGAAGGTGGCAAAATACATTTCACTACTAGTAATGGCCAGTGTGGATACTTAAATTTTGAGAAAATGTACCAAAGTCTACTACAACAGTTCGATTGGCCTGGAATGAAAGGATCTGCCCACAAAACTGTGGCTGAGTGTCAAGTCTGTCAACGGATTAAGCCATCTAGACAAAAGTGTTATGGGTTGTTGAAACCTCTCCCCATTCCCAACGGTCCGTGAGAGTCAGTTTCTATCGACTTTATGGACGTGGGCAAGCTAAGTGAGAGAGGAAGCTCACAAGCGGTGGTGGTCATTGACCGTTTTTTTTCAATGAAGAAAAACAAAGAGATTTTTTTTTTAAGTATATCATATTGATTAAGTATCCATTAGAAATACTTTGTTTCAAGAATCTACATTATACAACATAGTGARTTAATTACTACAATTATGATTTATTGTATTTAATTATTCATTGTAATATATATGTTATTATCATATTACATTATTCTACATTAGTATGTTATCAAATAATTAAAAAATTATTAATCTATTATTGATCATTTTGTATTATATTTMTTGTATAGATTTTGTCTATTTCTAGGAAGCTCACAAGCGATGGTGGTCATTGACCGTTTTTTTTATGTTATTGAATTCGATATCATTGCCTCCTCATGCCCCAACTGACCTTGCGATCCGCGAGTTCCATCAGAAGTACATTATGAAGTCTTGCGATCCGTGAGTTCCATCAGAAGTACATTATGAAGTATAGCCCGTTGGACCTGATCCTCATCTCAGAGGACTTGCAGGGCTCGCTGCTCTTAGCAGCTATCCTACCACACAGTCGGTATAAAACCCGACCTTACGTAAAAAACCCGACCAGGGGAATGAGTTTTATAAACTAAATGTCTCTCTTCTTCAACAGAAACCGTTCCTCAGCTATATAACAGATTGTTGGTCCTTTTGGCATACACAAAACAACTCGTACCCCAGGAAATTGACTGGTTTAACAATGGTTTATTTTTTTGTAAATAAAGAACGTAAGGAATATTCGTCACAGTTAGTGGCCCGCAGACTTAAATGTGAAATAGAAATACTTCAACAACTTCAGCAGCTTTAACAGCAGGAAACACCAGAGACCGTCCAGGACCATCGATCGGACATACAATCCCTACAACAACAACTACAGACTTTCGCTGTTCAACGATGGGAAGGAATGCGAATCAGGGCATGAATGTCACAACACCGAATCGAAGGCACAATGGACACTAAATTCTTCAGCATAGCCTGAGCATGGATACGAAAGACGATTATCGAAGCCCTATACGATTCAAAAACAGGATGTGAGGAAGCGGTAACCTCCACCCTCCAATGTATGCACATAGCACGGTCCTTCAAGGATCTCTTCACATCCAGATGTTCCCAGTGGGATTAACGGGTTAGGGAAAAAGAGATTGCAACCTTCTTACAGCCGCTCACAAAAAGCTTATCGGAACAACAGAAGGCACAGACCGCCGGTTGTCCAAGGAAGAGATTTGGGCTGCTCTGCTGCAAATGGAGGAGGAGAAAGCGCCGGGCCTAGACGGCTTCCCAAAGGAATTCTGGGAAACATTCTGGGACCAGATAGCCCGAGATCTGATGGAGTACTATGAGCAGGTATGGAAATCCGGGTGCATGGGGGAGTTGGTTGGGTAGGGTGTCCTCACCTTACTACACAAAAAGGGTGTCCTCACCTTACTACACAAAAAGGGGGATAAAATGGATATCAGGAACTACTGCCCCCCGATAACCCTACTTACTGTCGTGTATAAAATTCTTGCAAAAGCCTTGGTGAACCGCCTAATCCCTGTTTTGGAAACACATACATCCCACGCAAACAGGGTATGTTAGAGGGCCTAGAATTCAAGATAACATCCTTTTGGTCAACGAGCTCATGAGACTGACACGAGAGGACACATGCAATGCAACCGTGATCTTCATAGATTTCGAGAAAGTGTATGACCATGTAGACTGGCTCATTTTGGACAAATGCATGGAAAAAATGAACGTTGGTCCGCGCTTCCGAAGATGGACGACAATTTTACACCAGAACGCCACCACGAGGGTCCAGGTAAATGGGATGCTGGCTCCAGAAGTTCAATTGCAGCGGTCGGCAGGCCAAGGGGACCCACTGGCCCCCTTCCTTTTCATTATCATAATGGAAGCGCTAGCTGCAAACCTTCGCTCCAACAAGGACCTGAGAAAACTTCAGATCTTCGCTATCCCAACGGAAGTCATCCCTGTTTGCTCCATGTTTGCGGATGACCTGACAGTTATGTTAGATGCCTCCACTGCGAACATGGAGGAGATTAGGAACCTCATGGATCGCTTCACAGCTGTGTCTGACATGACGGTCAAGTGGATACCCGCAGAGCCCCCGATTTGGGTCCTAGGTATTATGATGACAGCTGTGGGCAAACCAGCTACTAACGACGACTGGATTTTAAAACCTGCGTTGGAAAAGATCGTTCACTGGAGCAACAAGTGGACATCGATGGTGGGTAGAGCCCTGGCCATCAATAATGCCATGTTGTGTTCTCTGTGGCACAAGTCTGCAATGTGGGCTCTTAGCAAAGAGGTTGTCAAAGCGCTGAAGAGACAGGTTACTGCGCTGCTCTGGAGGGGGGACAACAATCTCCCAAATGTCATCAATAGAGGTGCCTGGCCGGTGGTTATTTAACCTAGAGACAAAGGCGGTCTAGGAATTTTAGACCCGGTTATTCAAGTCACAGTAATAACACTCCAATGGATTAGACGGCTGTTATTCACCCCCCGTCTCCCATGGGCGGCCCTGGCCCTTGAACGAGTTGCACGCTTGGCCCCCCAGGCCCCCCTTGAGGTTGACCCGTTGACTTGGTTTGAGGACCGCTTTTGGTCCATACCCCGCCCCTCCAAACACCAGATGGATACAGAACGGGGGGCTTTCAAACGAGACCTAGCTGGGGATGACTTTTGGATTAAGACACTTCGCGGGCGTGGCTTCAGCTCCCCATGCCGGACAAAAGTCGGTCGTCCCGGTGTGAAGAGGTGACGAGGCAACCCCTCTTCGGGAACCTATATATTACCGACCGGCATGGGAGAGTATATCGCAGCTCAGACCCCCCGTGGAATAGCTGGGTCAAAAGGGGAGTGGTAAGAATCCGAGACATATGGGACATAGAAGGGAAAAACTGGAAAACAGAACAACAATTGAAACCCAGCCTAAGAAAGTGTCATCACGTGGGAAATAACTCGGAGGAACTGGTCTTTCTCGTACCTCTGGACTGGGTGCGCATCCTGCGAAAAGGACCGCATTTACAAGAAGGAGATTGGGTAGCCGTCCCGGACAACACAGAAAGTGTGGGGAATATTGTGGTGGTAAACGCACAGGAAGCACTGGTGAACCTTTTTCACCGGGAAGATGATAATAGGCTTACAAGATACTATCC